AGAGGCTTAAAGAACATACATGGTGAGATACAGCAATCCTGGCCGCGGCGGTGTGCACCATGTCTGAGTATCTACGTGAAGCTCACGGTGAGTCTGCACAACAGCCAACGGTTGAGGCCATGTGTAAGCAGGCGGGCCAGAGAGATTTTTTTTTTTTTTTGAGAGGGAGTCCTTCCGCCTGTTGGGCCCTAAGGCTGGAGTGCAGTGGCACATCTCGCCCTCACTGCAAGCTCTGCCCTCTGGGTTTCACGTCATTCTCCTGCCTCAGCCCTCCGAGTAGCTGCCGGACTACAGCGCCCGCCACCACGCCCTGGCTAATTTTTTTTGTATTTTTATTAGAGAGAAGGGGTTGTCACCGATGTTAGGCGATGGTCTCGAGCATCCTGACCTCAGTGGATGCCGCCCCCTCCGGTCCCTGTCAAACATGTGCTGGGATTACAGAACATGAGCCCCATGCCCCGGCGCGCCAGAGAGCTTTTTTTCAAGGCATGTTCCTGTTCTCTGGTCGCCAGCGACCAGCAGCACTAACCCGCGAATTCCAACAGAGCTGACGCTCTAAAAGGGTCCATTCTTCTTTTTTAAGAGGGGACCGTTTGAGAGATGTGGAATAGAATGAGAATGAGGCCAGAGAAGGGTACAAATATGCCCTACAAAGCCAGATGGGTTCCAAACTAGCGTTTATTGGGTTTTTTTAACACATGCCACACATGACACAGTACACACACAAATGAATAAAAAGTAAGCCTCTATACCAGTCAATAGCACTAGTGATAATGCATTTTTTGTATTTTTAGGGTCATATTTTTGAGAAAGATTAAATATTTCATTAACATTCTATTTACTATTAATATTAAAATAACTTATATTTAACATTTTTACAAAAACCTTACTGAGGTATAAATCACAAAACATACCATTAACCCATTTAAAGTATACAATAGTTTTCATTACTTTCACAGAGTTGGTGCAACTGTCACTGCAATCAATTTTAGAACATTTTCATCACCCCAAAAAGGAATCCTGTACCCATCAGCAGTCATTCTCCATCACCGACCCTTCTGCCAACCCTCAGCAACTACCGATCTATTTTCTGTCTCTATGGATTTGCCTGTTTTTTGACATTTCATATAAATCGAATTATGCAATATATGGCTCTTTTGTGTTTTTTTTTTTTGAGACGGAGGTCATCGGCTCTGTAGCCTGGGCTGGAGTGCAGTGGCCAGATCTTTCGGCTCATGCAAGCCTCCGGCCGATCCCGGGTTTTACGCGATTCTCCAGTGATTCTCGTGCCTCAGTCTCCCGAGTAGCTGGGATTACAGGCGTGCACAACCACTCCAGGCTAATTGTATTTTTTCTATTTTTAGTAGAGACGGGGTTTCACTATGGTCTCGATCTCCTGACCTCGTGATCCGCCCGTCTCGGCCTCCCAAAGTGCTGGGATTACAGGCTTGAGCCACCGCGCCCGGCCTGGTCTTTTGTTATTCCATTATTTCACTTAGGATAATGTTTCCAAGGTTTACCCATGTTGTAGCATATATCAGCATTTCATTCCTTTCTACTGCCAAATAATATTCATTGCTGGAATATACTGCATTTTATTTACCCAACCATCAGCTGATGAACATTTGGGTTGTTTCCACTGCTTGGCTATTTGAATAATGGTGCCACAAACCTTCCTGTACATGTTTTTATGTGGACATAGGTTTCCATTTTTCTTGGGCATATACCAAAGAGACTTGCTGTGTCATATAGTAACTCCATGTTTAATCTTTTGAGAAACTGACAGTTTTCCAAAGTGGCTGTATCACTTTGCATCCCCACCAGCAACATATGAGGGTTCCAGGTTCTTCACACTCATGTCAATACTCATGATCTGTCTTTTTTATTATGGCAATATTTGTTTTTAAAATGGTATGTCTTGATATTTTGTAATACATTTAGATATCTTAACATTTTTTATGTTGTTTTACTGATGGTTTTGCTTTATGATTTCTGAACTTTCCAATGAAAGAAAACAACTACTGAAGTCAATACATATTTGAGTATCAAAGACCCTAAACTGTCATTTTTGCTGCAGTTATTGCAGCAAGTAATTAGATTTTTTTTCTTTTTCTTTGAGACAGGGTCTTACTCTGTTGCCCAGGCTGGAGTACAGTGGCTCATTGCAGCCTCAACCTCCTGGGCTGGCTCAAGTGATCCTCCCACCTCAGCCTTCTGAGTACTAGGCTACAGGCATGTGTCACCACAACTGGTTAATTTTTGTATTTTTTGTAGAGATGTGGTTTTGCCATGTTGCTCAGGCTGGTCTGGAACTCCTGGGCTCAAGCAATTCACCTGCCTCACCCTCCCAAAGTGACAGGAGGTGTGAGCCACCATGCCCGGCCAGTAATTGCATTTTCTTTATGACAAAATTATTTTCAGAGCTTAGAATTAGATAAAACTTCTTCTCTACTTGTATATTCCTTCTACAGAGGAAAGCAGTCATTGCTTCTTTGCACTGACTGGTAGAAAGCTTAAAACTAAAACTTTTCTTGGTTGGAAATTCTTGCTAAATTTTAATTTTTATTTTCATCTTTTATCTTGTAGATATTTTTTGATACCTCTATATTAGTAAAAGCTAACTCACATCCCTTCTAGTGGGAAAGAGGCTATAAAGAAGTAAAGAAATAAATACATGGTAAGTACCCTTTATCTGCACAGCAATCTCAAGGCAGTAATTATAAAGGATAAAACTGAAGATATGAAAAGTTATTTACCAAAGTCAGAAACTTATAAGTGGCAAAACTGTATTAGAATACAGATCTTGCAGTCCCTCATTTCAGTTCTTTATACTCTCTCAACATTCCATCATTCTGTTTAATACAGACATTTTATGGCATCTGAAAAGTATCCCAAAGTAGCTCTTGCAGAACCAACACTTAAATGTAATAGAGTCCCTGTGATAAGATGTTCAACTAATATTTTATCCCAGTGATTGAGATAACTTTAAATGTTCCTCAATAGTCCACAATAGCTTAGCTCTTGTATGAAAGGAAAAAAGTGGTTTATTTTCATTGATAATTATAATTATTATAATAATGATTTTTTTTGAAACAAGAGTCCTTTGCTTCTGTCTCCCCAGCTGGAGTGCAGTGGCATGATCTCAGTTCACTGCAACCTCTGCCTCCCGGGTTCAAGTGATTCTCGTGCCTCAGTCTCCCGAGTAGCTGGGATTACAGGCGTGCACAACCACTCCAGGCTAATTGTATTTTTTCTATTTTTAGTAGAGACAAGTTTTGCCATGTTGGCCAGGCTGTTCTCAAACTCCTGGACTCAAGTGATCTGCCTGCCTTGGCCTTTCAAAGTACTAGGATTATAGGTGTGAGCCACCACACCCGTCCTATAATTATTATTTTAATTATTAATTTTCTACTAATGCTGAGAAAGATGGTATAAGACATAAAAATCTAATATTTGTCTAATGATATGGGTCAAGGCACCTAATATCAATAGTTAGCTAAATAATAGGGGAAAATATTTATGAATAATTCCAATGTAGAATAATTTATAGAAAGTTATATTTTTCCACATTACATTTTAAAGTAACTTAAAATATTTTTGGCTATATGAAATTTATATATTCTTCCTTAAAGAAAGAAAATAAAATTTTATAGAAGTAGTTACAGAAATGCATTTGGTATTCATTCCTGGTGATACAGAATTGAATTTAGGTTTAGTGCCAGATACAGGATGAGAACACCATTTGCTGGAAACTATACTTACCTCTAGGTGATTTCTATAAATTTGAAGTCCAATGATTTCACTTATTAAAGTGGACAAACAAGTTACATGTTCCGGACCTAGGTGACAGTTACATAAACTATCTAAAAGACAAAAACAGTCTAACCACGAATGAGAGGATTCAATACATTTTATAAATGCCTCAAAAGAACTCTTTTCTTATTCTCATTCTATCTCCACGTCTGGACTTGAGTATTGTGAACAATTGCAGTTTGGTCTAAAGAATTAGTCCATCACTATGAATTACCACACGTCACAAAATGACTTAAATCACTAGTGCTAAGTAAGTGGTAGGACCTTATGATCGAATAAATACTGGTTTTCTAGAATTGTAAAATACCTCAGAAAGTGTATAGTTTTGCCTCAGTCATTTTACAGGTGTGGGAAATAAACAAGAGGTGAAGGGACTTGCCCAAGATCTCCTAAGTTCATGGCAGAGCGGCAAGTTTATTTGTGATCTAAGGTTGTTCTACAATACCATGAGTTCAAGTCAAAACTTAAAATGGACTTGATTTTCGACTTTGTTTAAACCTGAAATTTAAAAAACTGAGCAAGATCCAGCCCAAAATAGCAAAAAGGTTTTATGAATACACACTTTTCGCTGACAGTCAACTAGAAACCAAATAGAATAGAAATGTTTCTATCAGAGAGATCATGGGTGTATCATGAAAAGTAAATGTAACGATGCCAGCCTTCAGATTCCCTAGGATATTTTAAAACTCTCAAGCACTTCATCGTTTAGGGTCACTGGAGAAAATTACTTTTATGCAAACAAAGGGACACACATCTGGAAAAGGAGCTAAAGAAAAATTTGGCAGTTCTTATCTATTTTATTCCCTGAAGAAATATGCTGACCATTAACTTCATAAGTTGAATATTATAAATGGAAAAAGGAAGAAATAGAAATCCACCCAGTTCTGGAATCATGGATGGAGTTCTGGAAGATGATTTGATCTTGTAATCTTTTTTACTGGTCCTCTCTTGGCACTCACTGTCTTCTGCTTAGCTGGATTATATCTTCCACTGAAATAAATAAGTGTTCATCATAATTTTTCAGTCACCATTATGTACAACAAAAACATTATAGGCCACACAGGGAGAAATGTATATTGTACCTTATTCCCCACCCCCCAACCCAATAGACCCTCACATGGAAACCTTCCTGTGAATAGTTTCTGCTTACAGTGCAAATCTTAGGCAGCCTTCTGTTATAGCATATCATCTCCACAGCTACAGAGGCATACAGCTTGCGGGTAGATAATTCAAAGGCTGGGAAGCAGCGTGTCAGGTGCTCTAATGTGGAAAGTTCTGTCTAATGAGGGATAAGACAGATCCATGGATTCCTTTTCTTAGATTTCCATGAGATCCTTTTTCCATTAATGACTTATGTGGCATTAAAAAGCCAACCTACCTTACACTCTGACTTCAGAGAGTAAAAGGCCACTTCCATTTCCTAAAAACTTTCTTAGTTAGGGGGTGATGGCAGTAAAACGATGAGTAAGAACCTGTCATTTTCTCCTCATTAAAATGAAGGATAAGATTCTCTTCTGCATAAAAGTGATGATAAATTGGCAAATATGGTTAGAAGCAACTTTATCAAAACTCTAGAAATTAACGAAAGTGTTGCAACAATCCTGGAGAATTTATAAAATAACAACAACAGAAACAAATGGCTGAAACTTCGAACACTGCTTTGTAGCATTTTAACTTGCCCTATGCCTATCCACTGTTCCCCCGGCTCTCATCCCCAGCTCCATGGCAGCCTTGAAAACCAAGAGTGCACAATTGCAGTGAAAACCCAGTAGCCTGGCAGACACCATAAGGGGCAGAATAGGGCTGGAGCTCCTTTAACACCTATTTCATTCCGAGAGGAGTTTCATTATTTAAATAGTCTGGTGATTACTTGAAACACCGCTTACAAAGCTATCTTTATTTGACCTAACTTGGAGATGGTCCCGTGTAAATAGCCTTTTCCCTAGGGGCATGGAACAATAAGAAACCATTGTTTAATTTCAGAGCTGCAGGGAGTTAGTAGATAACAATTGAGGAACAAAATAGGCTTACCAGGAAGCTTAAAAGGAAAAGCTGAGAGGCCAGGCTCAGTGACTCTCACTTGTAATCCCAGCCCTTTGGAGGCTAAGGGAGGCAAGTGGATCACTTGAGGCCAGGAGTATGAGACCAGCCTGGCCAGTATGACGAAACCCCACCTGTACTAAGAATACAAAAAAAAAAAAAAAAAAAAAAAATTAGCCAGGCGTGGTGCTGCATGCCTGTAATCTCAGCCACTTGGGAGGATGAGACATGAGAATCACTTGAGCCTAAGGCAGAGGTTGCAGTGAGCTGAGATCATGCCTAGGCAACAGAGTGAGACTCTGTCTCTTAAAAAAAGGAAAAGCTGCGAAATGAGTGTTAATAAGCTCCATTATATTTCTTGGCATCTAGAAGAGCATACACATGTGTAACTGTGGGGATGCATAGGACTGTGTGCATACTCAGGAAAGGCCTGAAAAGTCCCTAAGCTTTTGCCTCTGGCTGACCTTGAGGCTCTGCACAAGCAGGAAGTAAAGAATAAGGTAGAGTTGTAATTTGCCTGACCAGCTGTTGAAGGCATGCTCCAACACACACACACAGAGCCCATCAGCAAAGGCTAGGAGATTTATTGATTCTAGGCATTTAAAGAAATCTGTTCAATTATTAGCTGACCCCTAAGCTAACTCAGCAGAGACTTCAGTGTCCACCCCAACAAAGAATACAGATTTTACATAATTATTTCAGAAAAGTCACTAAACAAGCAGCCGCAAAAACAGTGACAACAACAAACCCTGGGGAGGGGAAAGAAACTAATATACAGAGTGGCCACGTTATATTTTTTAAAACATCCAGTTTTCAAAAAACAATTACAATATATGAGATGAGACAAAAAAAATGGCTCTTATACAAGAAAAAAAGCAACTAATAAACACTTTCCCTGAGGAAGTCCAGATGTTAGACTTAATAGAGAAAGACTTTAAATCTACTATTTAAATATGTTTAAAGAACTAAAGGAAATCATATCTATAGAGGAAATTATAAGAATGATGTCTCACCAAATCAAGAATACTAATAAGAGAAAGAAATTATTTAAAAAGAACCAAATAGGCACTCTGGAGTTGAAAAAGAAAATAACTGAAATGAAGAATTCACTAGAAGAGCTCAACAGCAGATTGGAGCAGGCACAAGATTCAGTGAAGTTAAAGATTTGTCAACTAAGATCGTCTGGTTTGAGCAATAGATAACAAAGAATAAAGTGAAGGAAATTAAAATATTTTCTCCCAAAATATAGTTCTTTGACATATTTTGAAATGTCAGTCTCTTGGCCAGCAGGCAGAAATGGCCTTACAAAGCTGTCTTAAGTGGGGAACATTTGCATTAATGTGGAGAATCTCCACTAATGCAGTTGTGCCACTTCCCCTTTCTATGCTTTTCCCCACATCTAGGAGATTGAAAGTCTGACACATTTAAAAGTCTGAGAAGAAACATTTACCATCTATCCTCTTTGATGGTGGCTTCATCTACATAAAAAGTCCACCTTTGTTTGCTAAACCTCTTCTCCCTGCTCCTATAACCTTTTTTAAAATCAGAATCTAAGCCCCTACTCTTTCTGTAACTTCAAAATGGTATATAAGTTTCTATAACTCATTGGGAAGTTGGGTCTTCATTCTGAAGCATGTATACATATTAAATAAATTTGTGTGCCTTTTCTCCTATTAATAAATTTGATTCATGTCTGTGATTTTTAGTAAACTTTAGGGGCAAGAGCCTATGGCCCCCACTAAAGAAAACTGAACAGTCTCAGAGACCTGTAAAACACCATCAACTATACCAACATATGTATAATGAGTGTCCCAGAAGGCGAGGGTAAAGAGTAAAGGACAGATAGATTATTTGAAAAATAATAGCTAAAAATTTCCCAAATTTCATTAAAAATATTGATCTACAAATTTAAGAAAGCTAACAAATTCCAAGATGAATATCCAGACACATCATAATCAAACTATCAAAAGCCAACACAAAGAGGGAATCTTGAAAGCAGCTAGAATGAAGCAACTCAGTCTGTATAAGGGATCTTCAATAGGAGTAACAACTGATTTCTCATCAGAAACTATGAAGGCCTGAAGGCAGTGAGATGAAATATTCAAAGTGCTAAAGGAAAAAGACTTTCAGCTAAGAATCCTACATGCAACAAAACTATCCTTCTAAAATAAAAGAAAAATTAAGACATTTCCAGATAAGGAAAAACAGAAGGAATTAATCATCGGTGAACCTGCCCTATAAAAAATAGTAGAGATTTTTGTGTTGAAATAAAAGGACATTTGATAGTAGTGTAAATTCACATGAAAAAATAAAGAAAACTAGTAAAGGTAACTACATAGGTAAACATAAAAATAGGATAAATGTGGTTTTTGTTTGTAATTCTTTTTAAATCTCCTAACTGATTAAGAAAATAACTGCAGGAGCAATAATTATAAATCTGTTGATGGAAACAAAATGTACAAAGTTGTAATTTGTATGACAATAACAGCACAAAGTAAGGTGGAGGGAATGGAGCTACATAGGAAAGATCTTTTGGTACACTACTGAAATTAAGTTGATTTGAACCTAAAGTAGATTGTTATAAATTAATATCCTAATTGTAATTCCCAGGGCAACCACTGAGACCAAGACCAGATGACTTCACTGGTAAATTCTACCAAACATACACATGTAAAACCAATCCTTGGTGCACACTTCATAAAAATGAAATAGGAGAGAACACCTTCCTACTTATTTTATGAGGCAAATATTACTCTTATTTTCTTGTTTCTGCTTGTTTGGGGTTTGGTTTGCTCCTCTTTTTCAAGTTTCTTAAGGTAGAAGATTTGATTTTTTATTTGAAATGATTCCTTTAAAAATATATTTACAGCTATAAATTTATCTCTAAGCACTAAACCTAATAAAGAAAATCTATGAACAAAATTTACAGCCAACATTATATTTAATGTAAAAACCAAAAGCTTTCTATCTAAGATAAGGAACAAGTTAAGGATGTTCACTATTACCACTTCTATTCAACATGTATAGAATTAGGCAAGAAAAATAGATAAAAGGCATCCAAATTAGAAGAAAAAAAAGGAGTAAAAAAAAGAAGAAAAAGAAGAAGAAAAAACGGAGTAAAATGATCTCTATTTAGGTGACATGTTCTTATGTATAGAAAATACTAAGGCATACACATACACATACACATACAGACACAGACACACACATGCATTTATGAGATCTAGGGTTTCTGGATTTAAGATCAATATGCAAAAATCAACTGTATTTCTAGACAATGCAATATATAGTCCTAAAATGAAATTTGAAACATAATTCTATTTCAAACTGCATCAAAAAGAATACAGCATTAGGAATAAATTTAGCCAAAGAATTACAAGATTTGTACACTAAAATCTATAAACTATCTATGAAAGAAATTAAAGAAGATCTAAATAAATAGAAAGAAATTCATGTTCTTGGATTAGAAGACTTAATATTGTTAAGATGGCAATACTACCCAAAGTGATCTACAGATTCAACACACTCTTCATCAAAACACCAGCTATATTTTGTGAAGAAACTGACAAGTGGATCCTAAATCCACATGGAAATTAAAGGGACTCTGAATAACCAAAACAATCTTGAAAAAGAACAATAAAATTTGAGTACTCACACTTCTTGATTTTAAACTCACGAAAAAGTTAGTCATCCAGACAACAAGGTATTGGCATAAGGATAGGGTTATAGATCAATGAAATACAACTGGGAGTCTAACAGTAAACCCATACGTTATGGTCAATTGTTTTTTTACAAGACTGCCAAGACCATTTAATTAGCAAAGTATAGTGTCTCCAACCTACGGTGCTAGGACAACTGAATAAATACAGGCAAAAGAGTGAAACTGGATGTCTGCCTCATATCATATACAAAAATGAACTCAAAATGGGTGAAAAGGGAGCTAAAACTAT